GAGGATGTGTCCATCAAAAGTATCCACGGTTGCAGGTCCCTGGCATGATTTTGGGTCAAGGCAAGAGCTTTCCAAAACAATTCCTGGCGTGAGCTTAAGGTTAACGGGGATTTGATATTATTGCCCTGTGCACTTGGCTGCATCCATCCTGGTTTGGAGGAGAAGAACGTTGAATAGATTGCTCTGTGTCGGTGGCCTCAGGGCCAGGAAACAGTGCCAGGCATGTTTAAACTGCTAGCACAGATACAAGCACTCCGGCTGCTGCTCCATCTCGGAGCATCTCCTCCTGGGCAGAGAAGCATCCGCTGGGTTATGAGTGGGGTGAGGGAGGGTCAGGGCTCGCAGCGAAGCCCTTCTCTATGGAGCTGGGCATTTCTGAGGCTGTTTTGTGCCCAGTTTCTCATCACCTGCCAGCAGGAGCCCTGCAGCGTGCCAGGGTTACACAATCCTGTGCTCAAGGAGCAGGCACTGAGCTTTCCCACCCGCTCTGCGGCCAAAAGGCTCAGCCAGTTCTTCGAATACCTGAATGCACAATTCCTTTCGTAACCGCCTCAGAAGTGCAGCCCGGGGGCAAGGAGCAAACGGCCCCGGGGCAGCGCGGCGGGGGGAGCCAAGAGGGGCCGAAGGGAACAGGCTGGGACTGGAGCCTGGGATCGGTTTTCAGCGCGTTGGGCTGTTTCTTTTCCCTTCATCCGATCGCTCCAACCTCCCAATGTGACCTTGAGGGTGCTGTGGGGGAGGAGGAGGAGGCAGCAGAATCAGTGCATGGGGGAAAACACCGGGTTCGGGGGTTTCAGCCGCTGTGCCAAGGGCACCCTGAGCCCGCAGTGATGCGGGGGAGAGGTTGGGGCGCGCCGATGCCCCCCGCCCCACCCGGGGTGAGTTATTCTGCAGAGTCAGCAAAAGCCCCGCTGCCTGGGAAGTCCCACGGGGCTGCAGGCGAATTAACTCAGTGCTACCCTGAAACAGAATCGCTTGAGCATGACTCTGCACGGGGAGAGGCAGGCAGGGGAGCGGAGGGGATTGTGTTGCATGAAGGCAAGACTGATCCTAGATAGCGCTGCGGGAAGGAGAAGGGCCCTGCCTTTGTCCTTGTTCCCTTGGGAGTTCTGCACATGGCGTTTGTCCTCTTCTATAGGGAATGGCACATGAGCCACAGCTGGCAGGCACATTCTGTCTGATCCTGTCGTTCATTTTCCTGCGGGTAAATGGGGAAGGATCCCACTGAAACCAAGGCTGGAGGGATGCTGGAGGGATGATGGTGGTCCCATCCTGCCGCCATCCCGTCCTTGGGCAGTGATGGGTTCTGTCAGTCCCAACCCAGCTGGTTTACGGCTGCCTCTCCACGGCCTGATCATCAGCTGATGGGGGATCTAAACCACATTCCCTGCCCCATCTCCTGCCTGCCTCTGCCTCGCCATAGAAATAACAGCAGAACAGAGGAAGAAAGCTGTTGACCTTGGTGCAGGGGCTGTGAGCGCATTACGGGCACGCTGAGGATCATACCCAAGCGAGGAGAACCAGTTCCACCGCAGCAGCGTGAAGGGTGTGGATCAGAGGCTGGAAAACCCCCAGACACAGGAAAATGAAGACACAAGGCTCCAAATATTCTTTTAGACCCTGGTTGTGACTCAGAGGCATGGGAAGAATGAGCCTGGGAGAGGAGCAGTGGGGTCATGGGGAAAAGGAGCAAAGTGTAGGTGATCTCGAGCATCATCCCCATCAGGGGCACCAAACAGCAAACAGGTCCTGGGCCCCATCAGCCAGGCTGGGACTGTGCCCTTCTCTGGTCACTCGACACTTCTTGGCTTGAGGCTGTGGTGGCAGAGCAAGCTTTAACCCTGTCCTGACATCAGGCTGCACTGTGCTCACAGAGGGTTTCTGGTCTGCTTGGCCCGGTTCCTCGATGGCTGGGTTGGGAAAGGGAATCCCATTAGGACGGATTTCTCCGTTCCACAGCTCACAACTTCTTGGGTTTTCTTTTTGGCATTGAAATGTTCTGAAACCTTTCAGCTCCAAGAAATCGGAACAACACGAAATGTCACAGAGGGATTGATGACATGGCGAGGGGCTTGGCAGGCCAGCCAACCTTTGCCACCAAACCAAACAGCCATCCTCAGCCTGTTTCCCTTCTTCCAGGACTGGCTCAAAAGGGCACTAAGGTAACCAAGGCTTCAGCCTTCAGCTTCCCCAGGAGCTGCATCAGGCTGTGCAGTGATTTGGAGGCTGAGGAGGCACCGGATCGCTTTTGGTCAAGCACATCCCTGCAATCAGAGTTTATAGAGGCTTCTCAGTGTGATGGGTAGGAGAAATACAGAGACCAGGAAGCAACTGCCGAAACTGCCAGTGATTAAAATGCAATAAAATGTTTGCCTTGTGCTGCTGAGCAAGAAGTGTGGCATGTGTTTTGCTGAGGTAGCAAAGTGGTTGTGTTCGCTGAATGAGCAGCTAATGAAAAGCATTTCAAGCAGGAAGCAACGCTGATGAAGATTATGAGCCTGCTTAGATCTGGGAGAATTAAATGGCCTGGGCTGGATACTCCTGTTTGACACCTGATTTTGCATTGATCGAAGAGGATTCACTCTGCTCTACACCAGCGTGGAAACAGTGGGAGGACCCCCTGTGCCAGAAGCTGCTGGAGAGCATCCCAAGAACAAACCCTTCCTGCAGCCCTGGAGAGAACAGCTCCAGCAGGGAAACTAATCTGGCAGCATCCTCATGTGCTAAAGCCAGTCCCATGGGAGCAGCCACAGAGAGGCGAGAGCTTCCCATCATGGATCATGCTAATTCCTCCTGGGCACCGGATCTGCGGGGCTGCAAATGGTGCTGGATGTGTGTTCAAGGCCAGAGATGGACTCTTATTAATGGTGTTTAGCACTTTGCTACTTTCCCCCCAGGATTATTCAGAAGCCAGCAGCGTAACAGAGAGCAGCATCTGCTCAGAGCCTGACCATGAGCATCACCCATGGTTTTATTCTTGGTGCGGGTAAAACTCAGTGTCTTTCCCTTGGGAAAAGAACCATGGGCTTGCTCTTCAAACACGGAACCAGAAAACATCTTCATTGTGAAATCACCTCCTGCGCTGCTGGCTGCATGCACCACATCCTCCATGTGCAGTCAATGACATCTGACAGCTTCATTGTCGCCTCGTTAAGGAATTTCCTGCAGGGCAAATGAAGGAGACAGCAACTCCCGGCGTTTGAGCTGTTCTCTGTCCTCACAGCACCGGCTGGGGTTGGGTTGGGGTAGCCGGATGCTCGCAGAGTGCATGGTGGATGCCTGTCCCACCCTCCTTGGAGGGACAGGGCTGTGATACTTAAAGTACTCTCCAAACTCTTCCATTCTATGGCTGCAAGTCTCTTCTAGGCAGCATATTACCAAATCATATGTGTGTACAAACTTGTTTGGATAGATATTCCCTGCCTCATCTCTTCCCGCTCCCTTCAGGGCAGATGCAACTCATCCTTGACAGCTGGTTCACACAGCAAACCCTAGTGTGCTGTTCAGCTTTGCTGAAGGTGGGCAGAGTGCCTTCTCAGGCTAAAAGCTGGCCAGGATCCACACATTGTAAAAGCTCAGCTCAGCCAAAGCCCCAGAAGGGTTCCTGGTGAAACAAGAGCAGGCACGTCTGCTTAGCCTGATGCTAGGAGATCCTAACATCAAGAGCAGGGGAGCAAAGCACAAGTAATGGGTAGAAGAGCACCTTGGTAAGGTTTCTGACATTCAAAACCTGCAAGACACAGAAACTCAGTCCAAAAGAACAGTTTGATTTCTTCAAGCGCATTGCGCTAATGGTGTGTTTAGGCTAATAGCAGCCTGCCAACTAAAAAGCATGTGTGCTTTCTCATCCATGCTTCCACGCTAAGAAGGTCACCACTAAGGATAGTGCTCACCCAAGAGCTCCCTCAAACACTGCCAGGCCTGGAGAGCTGCAGCACTGCCCGTGCCAGATTCCATGGCTTGGCTGGGATCTGCTGCGGTCTGGTTGCACCCAGCATCCCATTAAGGTTCATTGCCTGCCTAATGGCAATGGTTCTGGTTATCGGCCTGGATGCACCTGCATGTTCCAACACTGATGGGCTGGGTGGTTCTGTCAAACGGGTTAAACCAACCCGGGCTGCAGTTGGAAACCCAACTCGCCTGGCTCTAGCTGTGGAAACCATCTGAGATGGTTGTCTCGCATCCCTCTGACGTCCTGAGGACAGCACCTTACTGATGGCGACTGCCAGCTTATCCCAGATAACTTCTGGTGCAATCCTGGTGAGGCAGGTGGGCACAGGAAATCCATTGGCTGCTTTGTGAGTATGTGACACATTAGCTAGAGCCACGGGGACCAGGCTCAGGTGATGCCTTGTCTCAGAAAACACAGGAATTGTCTGAATTCTGGAAAGCAGTGACTCTGTCCCAGCAGTGGTGGCCGGGAGGGACCTCTGGAGATCTCTAGCCCGGCCTCTTGCTAAAACTGGACCAACAATAGTCCATGTTTTCAAAATGTCATTCTTGATACCTTCTGCTCTTCGTGGTCCCCGTTGTTCACCCATTTACCATTGCTTTCGCATCATTTCCACAGCGGCCACTGGCACAGAGACCTGCTCTATGGGTGCTCAAGGCTGGGAAATGCTTGGAGTCTGAAGGACCCTTCCCATGCCAGCGGAGAGGGCAACTGCTCAGGTGGGGCAGGGTGGCCTCAGTACCTTGCTAGCTGCAGAGTCCAAGCTCTTGGCTGCCAGACAGCCAGCAATGAATGCTGTCACCTACAGAAGTCTGAGAGGTGGGTAACTCTCGTCCTGTTCTCTGTCACAATCTGTTTTCAGTTTACTCTCCGGAGAGCAGGTCCAATAAATGATACCTGCAAACCACCCATTTGGAGACCAAAGCTGTTCTTTGCGTCCCTGCCATTGCAGAGCAAAGGCTTGCAAAGCAAATCTGTTTTGAAGCTGTTTCGATTTGCTGTTATCCCTGCACACGTCAACCATCACAACTTCTCCCCCCCCAGGGGCATGAGGCAGGTGGGCTTCATCACCCTGTGCTGATGATTATCTTAGGAGCACCAGCTGTTGGGAGGCAATTGTCTCTTCCACTATAAATGGGATCTGCTGCAAAGCCAGGAGGGCTGAAAAGACAAAATTCCTTTGTTCTCCAAGCTGTTCAGAAACAGAAATTCCTTGCTCCAGAAATAAGGAAACCGGTGAGGTTGGTGCCCCAGGTCAAAAAGGACAAGGGAGGATGGCTTTAACCAGCCAGAGGGGAGATTGAGGTAAGCTCAAACAGACTTTCTTCCCTGTGAGGCTGGGGATTGGAACTGGATGATTTTAAGGTCTTTCCAATCCAAACCATCCGATGATTTTCTCCCCCTCGCTGGTTGTTCCTTCTGTCCCTTGGTGTCCTCTCTGCTCTGCAGGCTCCCTTCTGACCCCACCATCACCCAGGTGGGTAAAAATACCCCCCTCCTAAGCGTTCTTCTTTATGTGACCGCGTCAGCCTCCCGAGTGGCCACGCAGCTCCGCAGACAGCTCTATTGCCACAACGGAAGGCGCGGGGGCAGGAATTGCTTAAACTGGCTTTGCCACTAGAAACAAAACCTGCTGGTGGCACCACACCCGGGAGCTGCCTGGGAAAAGAGGAGCTGGGGAGGTGGCAACTCCATCAGGTGCCGGGCGGGAGGGCGAGCCTGGGGTGAGAAATCACTGCCTTGTGTATCCCAGCACCCGGCAAGCTCCGACAGCGCTTCATTTGCATCCTCACAGCCAGGAGGTGGGAGCCAGGCTGGGAGCATCATCAGTTTCCTCCATTGATTAGGTAGAAGGTGGGGAAAGGAAGGGATTGGGAGGGGGGTGAACTGCTTTGAGGATACCTCCACACTCAGGGCTGCCTGATGGCCCGAGTTGTGCCTGGAGTGACAAGGACCAGACGAGGGCCCATGCTAGGGGTCAGCGTTAGGTGGGATGTGCCCATCTCACAGAAGGGTTGTCCCTGATAAGCATTTTTCCTCATGTATTTATTCGGGAATCTTCTACCGAAGTGCTCTGGAGCGGGCCTCGGGTGCATAAACCCAACATTGCTCTATGCAAAATGCACTTTTGCCCCGAGTTTTGCCAGACACAGTGGTTTTCCCTTAGGGAAATGCAGATCAACGCATCCTACCCGGCTTGCAGGGAATGTGCTGAGGATGTAGGGTGCCTCATTATCTAGATCAGTGCCCTTCTCCTAAGGAAAGCTGCATCTCCCACCATCCTCCCCTGCCAGGACATTCCCGTGTTGCACAGCAGTGGCATGGTTTCTTTCCAGTGGTTAGATCTATGAGCAGGAGCTGTGTCCTTCAGATTGTCCCTTGCAGGTGCTTTTGGAGCTCTGTGTATATATCCCGCCAGTTAATTTACAAGGCATAGAACCAGCTTATCCCCTCCTTTAAACTAAAGGGACCAGGATAAGCAGTGGAAGTTTTATGCTGGCAGTGGGACTTACTGCAGGGCATTAAGCTTATCTTTCCGCTGACTGTTTCAGGCTTGAATATCCTGCTAAAACTCCTCACTTGCTAGCACCTAACTTGTTTTGACTGTGATACTTAACGATTTCAAAAGCTTCACTATCACCTCCTGTTCCCACCCATTTACCTTGCTCTAATAGCCCCAGGCGCACCCAGCATCTGAAGTCCCAAAGCCTGGGAGCTGCCCAGTTTTGCCTACGGTCCTACCACCCTTAATGAAAGCCTCCTCTGGTCCCATCCAACATAAACTTAGATCCATGTTCACTTGTTCCTAAAGAGTTTAAGCATTGGCCATGCCCATCTCTGATACTACTGTCTGCTGGGAAAAGCAAGAGACTTGTTCAAAGTTTTGCAGCCAAGGATGGGGTCGGGAGCATAAATAAAGGAAACATGATTTTTGGATTGCACCATGGGTCTTTATAGCTCCTCTTTCAGGATGCACAAACTGCTTTCAGATGGTTATATAGAAGAAAGCTGAGACTTCAGCCCAGGGCCCTGCAGGACCAGCATTATCCTGTTCAGCACTAGGGCTGGCATAAGCATGGGTATAAAAGATGCTCTGTCTCTTCCTGGGGTGAGGGGAATGATGTGAGGGGTATCACAGATGTTCTGAAGGGTATCACAGGTGTTCTGAAACAAGTATCAGCTTTCATTAAACGGCACCAGAAGACAAGGCTGTTCCTAAGCAGCTCTGCCAGTGCTGCCTTTACACCAGGAGGAAAGGAGTAACCTGATGGTGGGGGACTGGTCACACTGGTATGAGGATGCTGAAGGACATGACCTGCCCACCGTGCTCAAAATGGGCTGAGTACACAAGAGGGGTCCAGCAGAGCCAGGAGGTACCGGGAATCAAAGTCATGTATAATAAATGAGCAAAGTTCAGCAATGGAAAGTGGGACTGGAGCACTCTGAGACCAAAAGCAAGGCACAGTCTGTGTCATTACTATTTAATAACAAAGGCCTTGGAAGACATTCACAAAGGCTGGGATAGACTCTGTTAACAGAGCTGTTAAAGCAAGAGCACGTGGTTAGTTGAGACATCAGGGAGATAAGGTGGAAAGATAATTACAAGGGAAAATGCTGTGCTGTCTGGCTTCTGGAGCAAGGCTGGATGCAAAGGAGCGTGTGTGGGCTCGCAGCCCCATGCTAACAGCGAGCACAACCTTAGCTGTGCCCTCTTGTGCTGCTGTGTTGCAGTACAGCTGGTGCAAGGAGCGACCCTGTCCCAGGGGTGCTTTGGGTGCTTGTCACCTTTGCCAGCACCTTTCATCACCTCCTGCTCCCACTTGGTGTCTTCTGTGTCCTGACCAGGGAACTCTGCATGGTTTTGCTTCCTGCTCCTGTGGTCTTTCATATCCCTGTCTTTTCCATGTGCTGAGGACCAAATACAGTGTGCATGGTCATCCTGTGTACGAGTAGAAGGATCTGCATGGTCCAGAGTCAGCCTCAGACATCCTTCAGCCCTGACGTTTGGGAACTCCTTGTCCTTTCCCTGCCCTTTACCTGGATGCCCCCTGCCTCGGGGAGCATCTTTCCCCCTCATCCCTGTGTGCCACTGCTCTATGGGCAGGCAGAGCTGGTCCATGTGCAATGGTTGCATGTCCCCTGCAGCTCCCCCTGGGAGCAGACCCCATAGACCTGGCCAAGCTACAGGAGCTCTGCCAGGGTCTCTGTTGCAGATGATGTACCAATGCCTTCTCTTCTCACCCCCAGCGCCCCTGGGTATAGCATGAACAGAGCAGGTTTGTGAGCATCCTGCTGTCCTAAGCAGAGGAGCATTGCAGCAGATGGGCCTGTTTGCCAGCTCCCCTGCTCATTCCCTGCAGGAATGGCAGTAAATGCATCTCATTTGTATTTTGCTGGCATCCTACAAGGCTGGCCGGGAACACGCTGTGCAGCAGCTGGAGCAAAGCGTTGTTTGATTTCCTATTGTTTCTCTTACGCTTTGTTTCTCACGTTTTTGGGGACAGGGACAACTCAGAAAGAGGCAAACAGGGTCCTCAGGAGGTGAAGCATCATTTTAATGCCTTTGTAGAGAAGCGATACAGGGACACTTGCAGCTTCTTGGAAAGTGGAAGTTCATGTCACACCCTGACAGCTGAACCGAAACAAGGGTTTCTGCATGCTCTGCCTTGTCTCCTGTCTCGTGGTTGGAGTTTTTTTCCTCCCTTCTATCACTGACATCATTTTGCACATCTGAAAGTGCTCATTTGGCACCCTTACCCCTGACATAGCACCCAGGAGTGTCCAGCTGCAGGGCTGGGGAAGGGAGACAAGAAAGGAGAGGAGAACATTGAAAAGCCATCTGTGAACCAGCAAATAAACCTGCTCCTGACAGACCAAGTGTGGGCAGAAGAAGAACTAACTCCTAAGAGCCCGCTTCTGAGGTTCACATCTGAGTGTGTTTCCACTGCTCTGAGGCCTGGTACGACAGCTGATGAAATAACACATCTAAACAGTGCAAATGGATTTAACCTGAGCTCTTCTTCTCTGGTTATGTGTTTGCCAGGTGATCTTGAAAATAGCTCTAGCCTGGAGCTTTAATGGCATCAGAAGGGAGTCAGGGTGGTTACTGAATGCCTCGTGATTTTGCAATATGTTTTGGCATAGAGCTGGTCATTAGTGGGATTTGGATTGCCTTTTTAAGGTTCCCTGATTTAAGAAGATCAACAGCTCCGGCCACGTGGTGGAGAAAAGCAGCAAAAGATACAAGGAACAGCAGAAATAGATAAACAAATATAGATATCTATGTATGTACATATATAAAACCTCCTTTGCTTCTATTCTCAGAGCCTCAAGGGCTTAGCTGTACCGCTGCTCCTATCAGTGCTGTCACAAGCGGTCAGAGTCTTGAGCACTCCTGGGCCATTTCTGTAGGCATTTTGATTGTTATGGAAATAGGGCAGTGATTCACCATTCCGGGCAGGAATAACACAGGTGGAAGTGGATTTCATGCAAATCCCTTGTTTCTTGTTTGTAGGAGCCTGAATTTCCCTCAGCCATGGGGAGAATCGTGTTTGCTGGCCACCAAATGCCACCGCTTTAGGCACCTCCTAAAAAGGGGAACCAAATCTTGGTTGGAAAGTGTGATTTCCAAGAAAATTACTATGTGGGGGAGCTGAAATGTGGTTTCAGTCTGAACGGGGCTGAAACTGAAACTTTTCCACATGACCATTGAGCAGGGGATGCTCCAGATGTTTCCATGGCTTCAAAGTCATAGGTGTCAGCATCATAGAATCATAGAATAGTTTGGGTTGGAAAGGACCTGAAGATCATCCAGTTCCAACCCCCCTGCCATGGGCAGGGACACCTCACACTAAACCATGGCACCCAAGGCTATATCCAACCTGGCCTTGAACACCGCCAGGGATGGAGCATTCACAACCTCCCTGGGCAACCCATTCCAGTGCCTCAGCACCCTCACAGGAAAGAACTTCCTCCTTATATCCAACCTGAACTTCCCCTGTTTAACCCGTCACTAAGAGCATCACTAAGACAACACCTGCCTAAAGCCCAGTTTCCCAGTACCAGGAGGGATCCCAGTGTCCCCAGTCAGAGGTGACCCAGCTGGCTGGTTGCAATGGGGCTTTGCACCCGGGCCAGCCGCTGCCCACCAGACCTGCAGCTCCAGGTCTAGCTGTGAACTAAGCAGTTTTGCCCCAAACTGAGCCATTTCCAAGGAGAAATGTGGAGCTTTGTGAAGCAGCTTGACCTAAACCAGAGCAAGCAGCAGTTTCCTTTGCTGAGAGGCCATAAAACACAACATGGAGCAATGAGGAGCCAAGACCATCCATTGCCCCTGCCTGCATGTGGTCCAGCAGCCACCACTGCAGCCTGGCCAGTTAGTGCCACCATGGGCTCCCCAACCAAATATGCTCTGAAAAAGCATTACCATTTCTGCAGGATTCGTTTGTATTTTTGTACTTGGTGGTTTCTGCCTCCTTTAGGAAAAATCTCCAGTTTCTTGCCAGCTTTAACTGGTTTTCCCTGAAATATATTGTGTAATCAGCTTGGTTTGGTCCCTCTCTTTTCTCTGCATTCTGGAAGGTTTAAAGATAAGAAGTCTTCTAAGAACTGTAGTTCTTTGAGGAAGACTGAATGGTGCCTTTTAATAGGTAGTGCTATATTAAGATATGGACAACAAACCCTTCTCACATCCTGCAGTGAATCTGTTGGGGCTCTGCTGACTGTCTCAGTGGAGGGCATTTCTGGCAGATCTCCATAGATATCCAGACCAGGAGACATGACCCCGCTTGCTTGTGTGACTGCCTGAATAGCAGCTCATGGATTCCCCCTTTCCCTGAGCCAGATGCAGTCCTTGCATCCACGTATTCCCTGCTGGGAAATGTATCCTGCGCCAAAATCAAGTACTCCTGAGGTTGCTTATTTGCACTTTTAATTGCGATTTATTTCCACTTTGAGCTTTTCCAGCCTTGGCTCCCAGGCAGGCTTCACTTTGCAGCACCCTCCATTCATCCTTCATCCATAAAGCATTAAACACACTGAGCATCTCCTTTATCACCTTGAGGTGGATTTTCAACAACTTCACTGCGCTCTTTTGAAAGCCCTGTTACTGAGGGTTGTTAATGCTGCTGTGTGACCTCCTCCACAGGCATCTCTGGGTATGTGACAGCCGTGCCTTGAGTTTCCCTGGTGTTTATAGCAGGGTAACACCTCTCTAATTGCCTCATGCCTCCCCGCTGAGCTCATGTGAAAGCTACCACAGCATTTGTTTCTTTCCCAGCCTTGTGAATCTTTCATGGCATCCCTAGGTTTATTAAGAACAGCATCATCCTAGGAGAGCAGCCCCTTCCAGACCCGTGGCTGAGGGTTGTTGGAGCTGTTTCACTTTGAAGTTTGGAAGCCATCGGTTCAACTTTGGTTTTCTCCATTGCAGTTTAACACCCTCCTTCTCTCGGGGGTGGTGCAGACACTTGGGTGTTATCACAGCTTGGTGGGAAAGTCTCCCACTATCTCTCCAGACATTAACCAAAGAGTCACTGAATTCCTTGGAGCGCTGTTAAGCCCAGCAGTCTGCTAGTGGCAACCTGATTGCTTCCATCCATAAAGGACCTGCGAGCTGTTCAGCCTTTATATTGGCTTCAAATATACTTCAGCAATTCCATGTCCTTGGCCTTATGTCTGGTATAACTTCATTTGTTCTGTAGCTTGCTGAATGCATTCTTAGAATGGATTTTATTCTCTGACCACACTATGCTTTCCCACACCCATAAGGTGTTACCAACACCCAGGCTGGAAGCCAGCAGTCAGCTGAGATTGTTTCTGATAAGGCAGGAATCCAAGGACTTTCCTTTCACACGTGATTTTGCAGCCAGTTTTCCTGGGCTTGCACAACCCCTACTTGGCCATAATAAGGACTTCAACATTGGGTTTTAAAGTAGGCTTTGGTCACTCAAACTTTGACTGTTGAAATTCAGCCCGATGTGATCCTGACTGAAGCCAACGTTAATCCGGGGTAACGGCTGGATGCGATGATCTTAAAGGGTCTTTCCCAACCTTGATGAGCTTTTATGAATCTCACTGACTTGCTTCTCAGGGCCAAAGAGAGAAGCAGAAGCATGTGGGGTC